AGAGTAGTTCTTCTAGCCTCATGAGGGGATAAGAGATACGAGGAGTGCATGAATACATAGGTTCATTTCATTTCATTTCGTCGTTTACCCTCAACATGATCTCCACATATTTCACTATCAAACTAAAAATCCAAAAGAAACGACAAGAAAATAGAAGAAATAAGATTTTGTGTTTGTGAATGATTAATCATAATTTTTATTTTTTGTGCTCGACATCCTGGCACGTAATTATGGAAGAGGATCTTAAGTAAAGTATCATTTAATTACTATGTCAAAAGATCTGAAACTAAGGTATCCCAACTCAATCTGATCATGCTTTTTTGTCATCGTCTGCCCCTAATGGCTCTAAATTAGCCAACTCGAACAGACCAAAAGGTGAGCTAATCCTGCAAGTAATGCTGGCTATTAAATATTATCATTAGATTAACCTTCATTCTTCACTATTATTTAGATGTTAATTTAACCTAGAAATATTCTTTTATAATCAAGCAGCAAGCACGAACAATTAAATGGGGGTGTAGCCCTAGGTATATAGATGGAGGTGTTGTGATTGATAGAGATATCATAAAGAAAAAACCTTTTGAGCATCGATTGGCTAAATTAAAAGGGTACTGTGATTATTGTTTTTTCTATCAAATAATTAGTGGGGAAACCGGTTGAACTGTTTCTTTGTTGTTTTTGCTATTGTTTTTGAGCGAGCATTGTTGTAAGTATTATCTTTCTCATCACTTGCTTCTTGTTCAGCTTGAAAATGACACGATTTATAATGCAAACAATATGGAAGTTTGTCCTCACCATATTCAAATAAATTTAAAAAGATAGTAGCGTTTGCATGGAAACATTGGATAGAGACTCCTCATGTGCATAAATTTATTGGTCCCAACCAGTGACAAGTATGAATCTATCGAGTCTCTATGAAGTTTTTATTAGGGTTTTCATTAGTTATTGAGGAAACATGCATGTCCAGGTGTGTGGACAAGATCCAGCTACAATTGGAACCAAGGGATCAAATTTCATCTCCTTCTAGTCGAATCGTGTGCCCTACTTATTTTTGGTAAATCCTATGTTGCTAATGACTTTAATTACTTCGAATTGGATTTAGCTAATATAATGGCTTTGGATGCATTCATTCATGTTCTTTCTATGGATAAAGTTTCCTGTCTTCATTTCTGGGTTGTTGTGTCCAATAGTATATATGTGCTCCTTTTAAATTTATTTTTTCGCAGATCATTTCCTAGGTATTTCTTACATAATTATATATAAGAGTTATACTTTAAATGCACATAGATACCAAATAGGCTTTATTTAAAGATTAGAGTTGGGAAATGAGATGCTCACTCGACTACTTAAATTAACTTTAACATATAATTCGTTTTACAAATTAAATTGTAATTAACACAGACCATTAAATTTAATTTAACGTCTAATTCGTTTTACAACAATTACGTGTAATTGTGGTTAGTGATCTATCTTTTAATTATGAAGGATTTGGGATCCATCCACATGTAATATATTGTGGTCTGAGGTTTTATTTAACATTCGATCTCTGAATATATAAACGGTGGGGGTCAATCATAAGATAATTAAGTAAATTAAAGTCGTGATAATTAAGGCGAAAGGTGTCGACCAAGGAATCAATGGCTGGCAGCAAGAGCAGAACATGAATTTTAAGGGTGATAGCTAGCTAGACACGAGAATAGTACAGATCAAGAAGGGGGGAGAGCAGGTGGGAGTATCCATGAAGAAATCCCTAGAAATGTCGTTTAATGAGAGGAGAATATAATTTGCTGGGACAAGAAAAAAAACAGAAAATAATAATTATCTTGTAAGAAATAAATAAAATGGTTTGGAAATTAGAGAGAGCGATACCAAGACAAGCAACAAATGTTTCCACGTGATGCGGGCCTTTTGGAAGGGAGTACGGGAAGGGGACTGTCATTGTCCTTACTTGTGGCGGCTGTGGAGGTGCACTCCCAACCCAAAAGAAATTAAAATTTTAAAAATATAATTGCTGCTTTAATTTCTAATAAATTTGCAAGAACAAGAAAATTTATTCAAAAAAAAATTCAAAACTTGTATAAATTATGAGCTCCATCAAACTATTATATAACTATTATATTATCAAATAGTCAATTTAACTTAAAAATTTAAATTATTAAATAAAATTTTAAAATATAATTTATATTATTCTCCAACATGTCCTTTCAATTAAAGTTTTTATTTGAAATTTGTATATATTTATATTATTTTATGCTTAATTTTTATTAAATAAATGGATATGATGAGATTTAAAATCGTAACTGCAGGTCATCAAAGCTCTAATACAATATTAAAGAATTATCTCAATTTAATTATTTAAGTTGATAAATAAGATATTAAAATATAATTTATATTATTAAACATTAAAAAAATATCTTTATATCTGTTTGCATGTTAAATGATATTAAGTTTTTTATTGTAGAAATTTTAAGAATATAGTGTAACTATACAAAAATCCTTGTTTTACCGTTTTAAGAATATAGTCTAACGGATTAAAAAAAAAAATTGGAAGTGATTCTTATTTCCTAACTATACAGAAAGACTAGTTTTACCCATTTTCTCAGTACCTGGATTGTGCTATTGACAGGCTCGAAAATCTATGCGTAGACAGAATTGTTAGTAAAATGATAAACTTGTCCTTTTAACGATGTAATAGTACTATGGGAACACCAGTCGAGGACTGTTTTGTTATTTTATGTTTAACATATATTGGTGTGCTGGTAGCGTTTCAAGCACAAATTCTTTTTAATTTGCTACTTACTACAAGCTGCACTCGCTTCTTTTTTTTTTTTTTGGGTTTCATTAGGGGTGACTAGCAGCAACCCTCTAGTTCATATAATCCACCAACATATAAATTCTCACTTTTTTATTTTAAAATATAAAATAATATTTAATTATTATCTCATGAAAGAATAAACAAAAATAGTAGAAACAGATCTGTTTTTTCAAAAATATAAAAATTTACTTTACAACTATTTTAAATAAAGATTTAAGCAAAGATTTTTATGCAAAACACTAATTTTTTTGAAAAAAAAACATGAATTCCATCCTAATTCTCTTACATTTGAAGCCGTCCAGTGAGAAAAGAAAACAAAAGGAGAAAGAAAGGAACTATGATCCAGATGAATTAATATTAACTTCATTTTTCAACTTAATTCTCAAGATATCTCCATTTCTTGCCCTGCCCTGCCCTAAAATACCTCAGTCAGGCCGTGTGATTCTGACCCCAGTTCAAAAAATAAAACTAATTAACTAAATTAACCATGATTAAATAATTGAACGAGCAAATGGTGAGTTCATACCACTCTCACAAATATAGGCATGCTTCATTTTAAAAAAATAAAAATAAATTAATGGCAGTGTCTTAAAATATTATCCAGAGAGAATGTTGCAGCATTTAAAGACAGAAACCACGACAAATGTTTGCAGGTATTCCCTTTCAATTCTATAATGCAAAACCTTCCAAATTTCCAGACACAGAAGAAGACAACAACAGTAAAAACAAAATATAAAATATATTTAGGCTCAAATTAATACTTTACAAGAAATTGCTCTGCCAATCCTCTGTATGGACTCTAGCAACCTATTCCTCTGAATCATTCAACTGGTGGGCCCTTTCTTGAATTGGATTTACTAGGCTTGATATTTTAATTCTTTTCAAATTGAGTTTTGGATTTATTAAGAGGTCCTAAACCCTAGCATCACGTAGGGCCGAGAAACTTGAGATAAAGAATGACTATTGGTTGATGTTTTCCATGACGTGGTATTTAAGGGCATTAAATCATTTCTTTTTATTTTTTATTTTTGTGTGAGAGCTTGATGAATAGCTGAATTATTTAGTTCTATAATTAATTATGTAGCACATGAAGGGGACTTCAAGGCCCCTCCTCCTACAATCATATGTACTAACAACATTCAATTAAATTGAGTGAAAAGAGAAAATTATGAAAAATAGGAGTTGGGCTAAAATAAAGGGATCTCCAATTCTAATACAGGTCCCAGAACTAAGAGATTCTTCATTTGAATCCAAAAAAATAAATAGATTTTCCTCAATTATGCCCCCCGGGCACCCGTGTCTTCTTATCTTTGCAATTAAAATCGCATATCGATGCCATGAAATGTCACTGTTTTCAATGTTTCCTGTTTTAAAAGAGTGATGGCTTCATATGGAGGATCCAGTTGAGAATTGCGCGATAACTTTGGGATCCAGTTGGTGAGGAGGGCTCTTGCATAGGGACTACATTGAGAATCAGTTGATAGTTGGGGGACTAGTTTAGCTACCAAGTGTGCAAAAGTGGTAACATTCTATTTGGCCTTTCCTCGTACAATTTAATCACATTTATTTGATCAAATGCAGGGAGAAATGAAATGATAAATTCCTTCACTTGGAATTTAATAATTATTTCCATTAATCCAATGATTGATATTTATAATTTCAAAAGGATTGAAAGTCTTTTCAAAGAAAAAAATAAATTAATTTAGAATTTGTTCGGTTTGGTTTATCTTCTTCTCGACACCAGCAAGCATATCTGAATTTCTTTGAGGTCCTGATTTTTGTGGTACTGGGAGTCGTCATTTTGTCCTATTTACTCAGTATTTGCATCCACAAGCTACATGAAAAGGCCTTTGCGGCTCTTACAGAGGAGGTAATTTTGCGTGCATGTTGGAAAACAATCTTTGCTCATTCTATTACCTTGATTTTTTGAGGATTATGAACCAATTATGTAAATAAGAAATTCTTTTACAAGAACCCAATTCGTTAAATTAAAACAATTTTGATTTGTTGATGTGATAGATCCCAATTCTATATGTATAGAAGAGTTGAAGTCATGTTGTAAAGATGAATTGCTAGCCCTAGAGAGAGGGATCGTGTTTTTTTTTTTTTTTTTTGTTCTTTGATTGGATTATTTGATAATTAATTAAAGCAATTTATAATGAAGAGAGGTATGTAATGCCACTACTGGCAATTTTTCTATATTACCAAGGAAAATACAAAAAATTAGCTAATCCAACTCTTTATTGGTCTATGATTGTACTTTTTGTTCATGACCAATAAATAAGTTAGCTAGTAATTAACTACCAGATCTATGGACATAAATAAGAATTGGCCTCTAATTACTTTTGCAATCTCTTCATGCACGGATGATGATCTCCAAGTCTTAACAAAATTCCCATCTCTTTCCAGATTCCTTTCTTTCCCTTTCGTCTCCTCTCCTCTCCCATCAACATCACTTTCATTTTTTTTTTTCCAAGAAAAAGACCAATAACATGCCCCCAAGTGCATTTGTGGGATACATCACTTGACCCACTTGTTCAGCTAAAACTTCGTTGATGAAGCCAGTTTGTGAACACCTCAAGTGTCTTCATGTCAGCTCGGTAGTGCTTTTGTGTGAATTCGAGCAACATAGGCCATGTGAAATCTGGATATATTCTCGGATTGCATGTGTCCACTAATTCATGTGGTGGAGTTACCATCTTGTCATTCTTTGGACACAAAAAGAAAGCAAGAGATTTTCTTGGTGTTTGGCTGTTCACCACTGCTCGGTGCAAACAACTCTTGTATATACCATTCGATAGAGCCTGCAAAAACAACAAAAGCCCACTAAATTTCAGTACCTTTTGTAATCATTAATGTAAATGCGGTGATAATTTAAAGAAATTGTCAATTATCATTCACGTACGTGTAGGGCAATTCTATTTATTTATCTCAATAAAAAGGATAGAACCACTTCACTTGGATGAATAATTTATATCTAATCATCTAACTGATCATCAAGTGGTAATAACTTAGAATCAAGAGGTTTGATTCTTTTATAGTTTCAGATTTGAATTATTGATTGCTTATATAATGGCTACTGGAGATTTACATAGTCATTAACTTCAGAACCCGTGGAATTAATCGTAGTAAGCGCAAGCGGGCCCGAACACCCATGTTAATTTAAAAAAAAAAGTTCATATCTTACCATGAAGGTGTCACCAATGTTAACAACAAAAGCGTCAAAATTGGGGCTAATCGAACGCCATTCGTTGTCCACAAACACTTGAAGACCACCCACTTGGTCTTGATGGAGGATGGTTAAAGAAGTTGGATCACAATGAGGACCGGTGCCTAAAGTAAGGTCAGGTTTTTGGCATGGAGGGTAGTAGTTGAGCCTCATTATTGAATCATTCTCGTTAAAGAATTCCCTGAAATGTTCTCTGCTCACACCAAGGCTCAAGCCTAATAGCTCCATGATCCCTAGTGACAAAGTGCTCATGGCCTCACAGTAGTCCTGATACACCCTCCTGATGAAAACAGAAGACAAGAAATCTTAGTGTCAAAGAGAACATTAACCAATCTCAATAAACAACATTGAACAAAACCAAATTGAATGGGAAAAAAATTGTAACATACCCGAATTCAGCGAAAGGTTCCCCCATTCTGTTATGAAAGTATTCCTCGATGTGTTTTGATGAATTCTTCTCAGCTGTGTAGCGAAAAGAAAGCGTTTCTTTCCATGGAAGTTTAGAGGAAAACCTGCCAGTAAAGCTGCTAGCATATCCACAAGACTCGCCAATCTTTCTTTGGGCCTTCTGTTTCTCAGAAAGTGGCAATTCGAAGAAGGTGTCCATGTAATTATGAGCATGGGCAATGAGTGTTTTATCAACTCCATGATTAACAACTAGAAAGAAACCATGTTTTTGACATGCTTCACCAACAAGTCTTGAAGCTTCCACTGCAGCAGCAGGGTTACCAGAGAGGAAATCACCCAGGTCTACAAGTGGGACTTGGAGTTCAGGTGCATTAATATTAGGCTTTTCATGGTCAGGCCAAATGAACTGCTGTGGTATGTTTGTCTGGTGTCGAAGAACTTGTGCATCAAAAACGAAAGACTTGCCATCATCTTTGCATTGATCCTGATCTTTTGGGTGGTGATGAGGGGTGGTTATGGATGGCATGGTTTTGATGCAATCTATTGCCATTGCATTACAAATTTTGTGGCAGGGCACGGTCTGTGTATATATATGTATGTATGTATGTATGTGATTGTGTGAGGTTTGAGAGGCAGGGAGGGAGAGTTGGTACTTAGCTCCTAGTTAAGATAAAAGAAAGAAGTGTACTGATGATGATAAAAGAAAAGCCAAGACCGCTCTTGTTGGGGAAATCGGTGAGCCCGAATGTTGGAATCTTGTAGCTAGCCATCTTTCCCCCACTCTTATATGCTGCGTGGATTTTATTTTTGCAAGGAAGGGCCTGAAAAGAGGAGGATTTGCAGCGCAAGGGGCTTAATGAGAAAATTAGTGATAGACCAATTTGTTGGAGTTCTGTCCTTTTTATAGCTGCCAGGAAAGCTCTTCCCAATGGAGCTCTATGTTTGGATGCTCTATGCTAGTGTCAGCGGGGCACTTTATTTTGTCTTGTATTAAGAGTGTGCTTAGACCTGTATTAAACCCATAACTTCCTGTTCTGTTTTAAAATGCCAGAGCCCCCACCTGACAGAGGTCCTCTATAGTCTACTCTGCTTTCTTATTTGGGAGCAACACTAAGTTTACAAAAAAATAATGAAGGAAGAAGAAATCTGTTTTGAGGGCCCTAATTACCCTGTGAAAACAGATTTCTCCACTAAAGAATCTCTCTCTCTACTCATTTCTCTCCCTCTTTTCCCTTCTCTCTTCTACCAATCTCTTATGTGACTCTGGACTTGTGACCCTATATCCCAGCATAGCTTCATGCCGGATATACATATCCATGTCCGACCCGTATTTCTCAAATTCTCTTTTATGTCTCCATATACTTCGAATGCCTAAATAGCATTCCTATCTGTGCTAGCTTACGAGCGTGTTCATCCATGTGTTTTTTTTTTTTTTAAAAAAAACTACAGTTTAAAATCAAAAGAATCATTTTGGTTGCTTTTCATTCGAACAACAGTTTCAAAGGTACCAAAAAAAAAAAAAAAACCGTAAACAAACAGCTCCAAACATCCAAGGTCAAACACACATGCTCTAGGACAAAGCAAGGGGTCGAGGCAACTCAAACTAAACTTCTCACGTTACATAATTAATAGAACAGAGAGTTTACTTAGCAGCATTGATGGGATGTGGCAGACAGCTTGCAAGAAAAGATGTAACATAGAGTATGGAACCTAAGAGGGGTACTCGCGTTTTGACAGCCAGGCACTTTGTAACGAGGAGTTCATGTAGCGAGGATGGCTAAGCAGAATCATCGCAAATACAACATAGGCATAAAAGGAAAGAGACAAAGTAAAGAAACATTAATTGCTGTTCCTGTTCGAATCAGAAAGATCTTCCAGTTATAAGGTGACACAAACTAAAAAGTGATGTGGTTCTCCTGTCATGGAAATAGCAAACTATAATGACTTGTAACAGGGACTCGGGCATGAGCAGCCTTGTAGTCAGCATCTATTAAGTTTGGTGGTGAGGTTTTGGCATGGGCATTGGGGGGGTGTCCTCGAGCTAAAATGGCAGAAAGCAATAAAGGGTAAGCAATAAACTAGTGGCTAATTTAGATGTGCTTAATTACATGATCCTAATTTAAATTAAAAGGGGGGAGATTTTATGTTGTTTGCACAAGTGTTTGAGCTTTCCCTTCTCTATTTTTTTTTCCTTGAAAATGAGGCCAATATATGGTTATGCTTGTCAGGATGTTGATATTTAAAATGCAGCACAACCCATGCCCAACTTCTTTCAAGTTCCCAAGAGGCATGCATGCTGTAATTTTTTTTTCTATTTTTTCCTTTTCACCGCTTTGAAAACAAGCGGAGGGACCGACCGAGGTGGTGCCATTATTAATCAGAGGCCAGCCAGGCCAAATCTGGTGTTACTCGGGCAGGGACATTTTATTCTTTCTTCTAACTTTTTAGGGACATTTTTTTGTTACCTTTTAGTTTGCTTATTTTATGGAGAATGAACTTAAAAAAAAAAAAAAACAGAGTTAAAGTGAAAGGAAAACAAATATTTGTGGTCTGGGACTGGTTTTGTTGATTGTGGTGTGGTTAAGTAAATTTTCCTTTACGTTATCATGATCACTATCTTAACTTTGTTGGATTAAATCTCAAGAGATTGACTTTGTTGTTAAGGAAATTTGTTTTTTATTTTTTATTTTCTGGGTTCGAATCTTGGGATCATTATTTAGAAAATTTCATTAAACTATTTTTATCAACAATATATAGATGATGCCAAGCAAAATGGGGAGACAATTATTGTATCAAGAACAACAACTCCAGCTGTTACCACTTGAGACGGTCCACTGGGTTGTTCGCGCCATGGGAGTTGACCTAAAATAGTAGTCTTTGGAGATTCTCCTTTGCCTAACCTGGTCACTAGAAAAAGAAAACAAAATCACGCTCTCATCTCTTAGGTTTCTCCATGTTCCGAGTTGAATTCTCCCAAAAAAAAAAACCCACAGAATATATCAAAGAATGTTACGAATAAAGTGTTTGTTTAGGTCTTTCGAGCTGTTTTTTAAAATATTTTTAACTTCATATATGTTTTTTAATAGTTTTTATATAATAACATGATAATTTTTTTAAACAAAAAGAAAGCCGAAACAACATTCACTTTCGCAAAATAGTTTGAAGTGGGTGGGTTATCGGTGGCAATTAAGGTGAAGTGATTGAAGCAACTAGTAGGATAGTGCCATGGTGGGTTTGACATAACAATGCCATGTACATGAAGGGAGCCGATGATTCCCCTCTGCTAAAGCAGGCCCCAATTAAATTTGACTTAGCACCTTGAATGGATTCTTTGGCCATAAATAGAAAGAGAGTGTCATTTTAAGGACAACATGCTTCAATCTCCCTTAATATTCCACCAACATTTGCTTGCTTTTTGCCAATTTGTACCATCAGTTGATGGTATCCCTCCCTCTTGGTTTTGCTTCAAGATCTTGAAGCAAGAACGAAGTGTTAGTTTTAATGGAAAATGGCCCTCAGAAAATTAATTCCCACTTTAAACTTCAGCTACTTGGTCTTAATCACCGTTTTCTTTGTGTGTGGTTTAGAATTGTGAGAGAAGAAATTGTAATAAAATAAAAATCTTATTTTCCCCTAACATCTGGATTCTCTGAACTAAAGTTTGGTATTGAGGAAGTCCTATATACATCGTACTAGTTGCCAGTGGAAGCAACAATATGCCATACAATAGAAAGGACAAAAAGTGAATCAAGTTGTAAGAGATTGTGTTTTTCGCTTTCCTATTTCTCACCACACAAAAAAATGAGGCCACCACAGATTATATGTAATTCCAGGAAAAAAAGACAACTATGGCTCTCGACGGAGTGGATGATGAATCCTTGCAAGGGTACTGTTTTCAGGTCTCACTTTTGCAATTCCTACTTGCTGGCACTGTGATTTCTTTCTGATAAATTTAATCAAGGCAGATGTTATGCTCATGGAATACAATTCAAGGGTTTTTGGATAAAAAATTAAAAAAAAAGAAGAAGAAGCTATCCCCAGTATTCCATCTATTCTCTAGTTCCTTACCATGTAAATTTTCTGTTCTTGATTATTGAGATGCATGGGATTTATATCTTAAGAGTAGATATTTAGATACTATCTCTTTTTAAAAAAAAAAAACAAATTGAAGGTTATCTGCACGCGATTGTTTAAGATGTACTTGGTTAATGTTTTAGAATTAAATTTTTTTTTACAAAGAACAGAATTTAAAAAACAGAAACATAAACATAAACTAAATCTATTTTTATTATAGTTTTGAGATGAATTTATATTCTTTAAAAATAAAAATACAAGAGAATATGTCCCTCTTATTTTTATTTTTATTATCTATCTCAAACCTAATTTATATTATTTTAGTTAGAATGCTTCGTAATCATTTTTATATATATATATATAGTAACGGTGAAACACTCAAATCATATGTCAAAGAAATTAGGCCATGCCCGGAAAACACTAGGCAACGGTCCATAATGGGTTTACCTAATGTCAAGACATTTGATTTAACAAGTATGAAAAAGATTATGTTATATTACCCATTCTGTGTGACTGCCTCAAATTACCAAGAAAATCATGGAAGAAAAATGTAAGAGATAATTCGAAGGAAGCATTTTAAAGCCAATGTTTCTCGTTTAAATGAAAACATTTTAGAAATTGGAAAATGTCATATTTTTTTATTGATTAACTTATTCCATTCTATTCCTGGACCCGATTCTATATTTACATTTATATTTATATGTGTGTGTATGAGTGCACGCTTGTATGCTTTTTTCTGTACTTATCATATATGATATTTGAGTCAAACCTTCGATGATCAACATGGGTTTTATTACAAAGTAATCCACCAACTTCCTAGCATCAATTTCATTGAAGAAGAAAAAAGAAGAAAAAAAAAGAAAAAGAAAGGGGGAGAAATACCTTTATGATGCTAGATACATTATGCTAAAAAATATCTAAGACAAGGTTAAAATTTAAGTGAAATTTATGATCTAATCAACGCTAATTTATTGTATTATAATTAAGGAAAAAGATTGAGTGATGGGATTCAAATGTTATTAAAGAACTAACAAGTTCTAGAATACGTATTTTATTCATGTTTAAAAAGGAAAAAAAAGAAGAAGAAGGGGGAGACAATTTTAGATAGTCTCTTCAGAGAGAAAGAGAATGGAGGAGTGTGTGTGGAGCAATAAGGCATAGTCACATCTACTGTTTAAACTTAAAAAATAATGGTGTTCTTTCGATTGACTTATAGTTGCATGTAAAGCACTAAGCAAATCTCCATTATTGACATATCTAAGTAAGTGGGGAAGAATTTAAGATCCTAGATGATGTTTTAATAGTATCACTACCAACTACTGGTCTAACGTGGGTCAACTAAATGACCCATAAACTTTGAAAAGTTAGGAATTTGAAATGTGTGTTTGCAATCCTGTAGTTTTTGCGGTTATAGTTTAGTATGTTTATTTTTGTATTTAAAAAATACTTTTGAAAAAAATTAAATTTTTATTTTATTTTATTTTGTTGCTTTACAATAATATTTTTTGGTTTTTTCAAATA